ACGAATATGCCACCTCTCTCCTGACTGGCCTATAGGTTCCTTTCAAAATTGTAGATAGTCAAATCTACTCAGAATTTGAAATGGGAAAACAGAGATCCTAATAGATCTAAAATGATCTCAGAAAAGACACCGAGAGCCTTAGATATTAATAGCTATAGGTTGGGTACAAAGATGGACAAAAATATGTAACACTATGTGTTTTATGGAGTGGTGCACACAAGCACACACACGTGTGCATGTGTGTGCACACACACATACACACAGGTCAATAAAGTAGATGAGAATTGGGAAAGAAGATCTAGGTACAGGTATATGTACAACTGATATTTGGCCAAAGGATAAAAGCAACACAATAGTGGAAGGATAGCTTATTATTTGTCAAATGGCGCTTTAGCAACTGAACATACATAGGCATAAAAATGAACTTCAGCCTAAACCTCATACCTTACACAAAAATTATCTCCAATGAATCATGGCCTCAAATGAAAACCTATAAAAAAATGAAAACCTATAAAACATTTCTGGGGAAAAAAAGAAAAGTAAAATGAAAACCTATAAAACATTTCTAGGGAAAAAAGAAAAGTTTCAGGTCTGAGGGGGTAGGCAAAATGTATTTAATTTGGAAAAAAATGCTACCCATTATCAGAAAAAAAGTCAACAAATTGGGCCTTGTTGTGTGACAAGGCTTTTCCTGGGGAGACACAACACAAAGGGTCTACTCCTTTAGACAGAGGGCACACAGCAGACTAAGGAGCAGATACCACCACAGTCCAACTTGGTGAATTAGTGAGCACTTTACCGACAGAAATACAGGTGAGGGATTGTTACTTCCAGGGGAAGAAATGATTTAAAGACAGCTATAGCACCAAAGCCCAGCCCAGCATGGGTGACAAAATCTGGGAAGCTGGCACATACTGCACAGCCAACAGGCAGCTTAGCGGGTTGGAGAATGTTCTTTCCAAGTGACTCAGTTAGTTGGTTTAAACCTCTTCCAGACAGCTTGCCTGGTTTCTGGTTCTTGCAGACTAGTAATCTTATCTCAGACTTTTCTTTACAGCTTTTCTCCTCTGAGGGTGATTCTGAGCACCTTTATTGTTTACTCTTGAGTGGGAGAGACCTAGACAATCTGGTCAATTTCAGGGAGTTCCTGAAGCTATTTTGAGTTGTTTACCTTCTTAAGGAGGTTCCTTGGGAGATGGAATGTTTCCATTTCAGAGGAGACCACTGTACAAAAAACAGTTCCTAATCAAGATGAAAACCTCTAGCTCTATGATAGACCCAATCAGAGGATGAAAAGACAAACTATAAATCTTGAGAAAAGATTTGCCAATGACACATTCATCCAGGAACTAGGATCTTGAATATATAAAGAACATCCAAAACTCAAAAAGGAAAATGCAGTCCGATTTGAAAATGGTCCCACATTGGAACAGATAGTTCACCAAAGAAGGTATGCTTGGTGGTAAATAAAGACAAAAAAAGATACTCAGCATCCTTAGCCATCGGGAAAATGAAAATCAAAACTGCAATAAGGTACCTCTCATCTCAGAGACCATTACAAAAAATACAGAGATCCACTGATCCTGGGTTGCCTGACCCAACAGATACATGTACAACACAGCTCCTGCAGCTCAGTGAACACTGTGGAAGAGAAGGCAAACTATTGTACGAGCCAGAGGACCAGGAAATCAGCTGTGAGATTGTGTCTTCTCAAAATAAGAGGGAAGCTACATCCATAGTACCTCAGCGGTATGGCTGCCTAAACAGAACCTGAACAATGGTAATACCAATAGGCATACTACCATTGGAGGGTGAAATCCTCCAAGGGTCCTACCACTAGACAAAGAACTACAGTCAAATACTGACTGCTGAAAGAGGGAGAATTGGTCTTTCCCAGGGATGTTTCCCTAATAGAAAATGGTCAGGCCTAAAATCATATACTGTCAAGCAATTCCAAACAGACTCAGCAAGTTGTAGTTACATATTTATACAAATGTATACATATATGTGTATAACAATAATAATAAAAAAAGAAAGAGGATATCAACTTGAGAGGGAGTTGTGACATGGGAGAGATTGAAGGGAATAATAAGAAAGGGATGTAATTAGATTTTAATTAGAATTTTAAAACCTATAGATAACAAAAATAAAGAAAAAACACAATGAAGTATCACCATAGACTTATCAGAATGGCTATAAAAACATGAGAATAGTATAAATGCTGTTGGGACTGTGACAAACTAGATCATGCACATGTTGGAGGTGCAACTGTAAAGTGGGATAGCCTCTCAGAAGAATTAAAACAACACACACACACACACACACACATTGATTCCGTGTGATTTCCAATATTTACATATGAATATACAATTATCTCAAAATCAAGCTTAATTTTAAGAAAGTCTTTTATACACACAAAACAATGACAAACAGAGAATCTTCTAGAAGAAAATTGTCAAGGTGGAAAATGGTCTGGAAATTATGTCCTAGAGAAATGGTTGGGACTGGTATCACCTGAAAAAGGAAACCTCCTGGGGGCAGTACTCAGAAATTTGCCCAGCAGCAGCAGGAGAGGATTACATTAAAACCCACAGGAAAAAAAGGTCCAAAGAAGAGAGTTCTTTTCCATATCCGGAAGAACATTTGATGATAGGTACTTCTGCAATAGGACAAAGAGGTTTCTGGAACATGTATTCTAGTGAGGGGCAAGGCAGAAGCAAGAAAAGAACACCTGTTCAACTAAACAGGCAAGACTAATGCAGCATTTTGGAATTTTCTCCTCGGAGGGGCTAGAGGTAGTTGGAAGGACATTGGACACTGAGGCCTGTTTCATGTGTACAAATTGCTGGAGAAAATGGGATAGTGGGTGTGTGTGCCAACTTCAGGGAAGGCGCTTGTTAGCTGGGTGAATGGTAGGTTCTTTTCTCAGCAGGGTTTGTATTTAGAGAAAGATGTTATTCAAGCCACAATTCCTGTCTCCCGGGCTTTTTGCTTCATCAGCCAGGCCCCAGAGAGATCTGAAAGGATTTGGAGAAGATTGCAGTGAAGGCAACAGTAAGACACTGGCAAAGGGGTTTCAAATGGGTGGCTTTGCCCTTTGAAAGGCTGTGCCAGTCACTGGAGTCATTTCTGATGAACAAGCACATTTGGAAAATTATCACTATTATGCATTGCAAGGTTGCAAAGACCATATGTGTCCTTGCAACTAGCGTCATACTTAAAAAAATAATAATACTTAGAACAGATTTCCTCAGAGCGCACAATGCCACCACTCATAATGTTGCTGATTTCTACTAAGGCTGGAACTAGGCAAGAATTTCTTAAAAGCATTTCTATGGATATTTTTACTATCTGTTTTTTTGGGGGGGGCGGGGGTGTTGAGCCATAACACTGGGTGAGGTGGAGCCAGGCAGGCTCTTTGGGCAGTTAGACCAGCCTACTCAGTGACTTCCAGGCCAGACAGAGAACCTGTCTCAAAACCAAATTGGATGGTGTGGATGCTGCCTGACAAAGACCACCTGGAGTCTTCTGCCACCACATGCATGTGTGCGTGCACTTTGCATGGCCAAAACAAAATGATTGAGAACTGGGCAAAGGACCTAGATAGATAATATTACAAAGAAGTTACACGAATGAAACAGAAGTACAGAACAAGATGCTGATCACCTTTCACCAACAGGGAATTGCAAATCAAAATCAGAATGAGTTCCTATTTCATACCCACTAGGAGCTGTAAGGAAGAAGACAGTAAGAAGTGTTACTGGGGTTATGGAGGAAATGGAACACTTATACACATCCATGAGAATGCGAAATGATGCAACCACTTTGGAAAGCAGTGAATTTCTTCGAAGGTTAAACATACACTTCATGCAATCCAGACATCCTCCTCTTAGCATTAGACGCAAGGCAAATGAAAACCCACTTTCACACTTTGATTCCATCCAGTATATGAAATGTACAGAGGAGGCAAATAGAGAGCCAGGGCTGGTGGTGTGCTAAGGGCTGATTATTTCAGAGGATAAAATGAAAAGTGATTTCTAAAAGGTAGTGGGGGGTGCGGGTGGGGTAGGTGGAGTGTTCAGGAATTCTAAAAACTGTCCTGATGGAGCCAGAACTGGGACTCCACTAAAAATCCACCCCAGCCATTTTGTTCTAGATGGTTTGTAAATTATACCTAGAAGCAGCTGTTAAAAACACAACTCCCCCTCCACATGACAACTTGTGGTGCATTCTATTGTTTAAGTATAATTTAATGGCGGACACTGAAATGGTGAGTTGAGGAGGTGTAGTGGAAACCTCTTTGAAGACTTAGTGTTTCAAAGGGTAGGCAGGCAGGCAGGCAGCGCACTTTTATGGGAGTCCATTTCCCAAGAAAACAAAGGTTTGCTCGCTGGCACCTTCCCCCATACCTTGTCAAGGCAAATGAGGCTGCAAGACAGGGCTCAGGGAGGCTATGTCCTGGGCAGTGGTGAGTGTCAAATGACTCCACATCATCCTGATGTGGAGTTAAAGCTACAGGTGCCTTTAGTTTGGAACTGATTATCAATATTCAATTAGTGTCTTGAACGTCTATTGTGGTTGAAAGCTTCAACTTGTTTGGTGGGCAGGGGTGTGGGCGAGGAGGAAAAAAATATGCAAGAAAGAAGGGGAGGAAAGGTAGAGAGAGGGAAGAAGGAAAGAAGGAAGGGAGGAAGGGAGGAAGGAAGGGAGGGAGGAAAGAAGAAAAGAAGGAAGGAAAAAAGGAAGGAGGAAAGCTAGGAACCGAGCTTATAATAGTGATTAAAGGGAAGGATGAGGAGGGACACCCCCCACCACCACCACCAAAAAACAAAAACCAAATCAACCTGAGCCCTGCAATCCCTGGCTCGGCCGGCGTCCGGGCTGGGGGCGCTGCGCGGGGGAGCCGGCAGGGGGCGCCCTTGGCGTTCCTGCCCCGCGGCTACCGCAGCCGCCCCCTCCACCCGTCCTGACGTCCGAGCCCCCGCCTCTTTCTCGCGGGCTTTCAAAGGGCGCTCGGGGCAAGCCGGCCCTGAGCTTCTGTCTGCCGGCCTCCGGAGATCCCGTGCTCACCTGCCCGCCGCAGCCTCTCCGCACGCCCCCGGCTCCCTGCAGCTGCCGTCCGTCCGTCCGTGCGTCCGTCACTCCCTGCAGCAGGTGCCTCGGGGGAGCAGCACCTCGGCTTCGAAGCCGCCAGCCCCGCGGGCCAGTCACATGGAGGGCGGCGGCGGAGGCGGGCTGGCCCCTGCCGAGGCTCCGGAGGAGGCAGGCGAGGCGCCTCCGGGCAGGCTGCCTCCGGGGCCCGAGGTCGCGGCGGGGCCGGCGGAGCCCGAGAGCTCGGGGGACTCTGCGGGAGGCGAGGCTGAGGGCGGGCGCGGGCCGCGCCGGGCTCTGCGGGCTGTATACGTGCGCAGCGAAAGTTCGCAGGGGGCGGCGGCTGGCGGCGGCCCCGAGGCCGGGGCGTTTAAGTGCCTGCTTCGGGCCTGCGAAGCTGAGGGCGCCCACCTCACCTCCGTACCCTTCGGGGAGCTCGACTTCGGGGAGACAGCAGTGCTTGATGCCTTCTACGATGCAGGTGAGGGCGGGGGGCCACCCCTTGGGTTCCCACCGCCTTCTCACAAGCCCTGCCACCCCTCCACTCTCTCCCCTGGCTCTCTCCTCCAGTCCCCCTTCCATCCTCCCATCATTGATGCTCAGGACCAATGTCTACCTCCTGGATAGGGTAGAACAAGTAAGGAGCCCTTGGACAGATAGGCACTTAGACTCATTTAATCTTTTTAAATTTTCTTTTAATAATAGCCAACAACCCAAGCAACACACTGTCGCCTAAGATGGCGGATCTCCTCCACAGGGGTCTCATATCAGATATTTACCTTACAATTCATAACAGGCAAAATTACAGTTATGAACTAGCAACAAAATAACCTTATGCTTGGGGTCACCACAAGAGGAACTGTATTCAACCATTAGGCAGGTTGAGAGCCACCCTACAAGATGTGGAGTCCTGTTCCTCAGTTTTCTCCTGACATATCCCCAATGCAGGCTAGTTACTATACTCATTTGGGACAGCTGTTAAGACTTGTTAAGATGGATCAATCATCAAATCCCAGGAGACAGAGACAGGAGGATTGCAAATTCAAGGCCAGCCTCTGTGACATGTGGAGTTTGGGGCAAGCCTAGGCTACAAAGTGAGTGAGTCTCTCCTTCACACAAACAAAAAATCCTATCCATTTCATACCAATGACACCCAATGTCAGGACTTCAGAATGTTTAATTCTTCCAGGTGATTCCATCCTATGACCAGAAAGTGGCAAGTTAGTGCCTGACAAGCTTCGATCGATGAGGGTTTTTCTTTTCTTTTTACACACTTTCACATACTTAGAGTTTGGTGTAATCTACCGCTATGCTATGTTTTAATCTCTTAATGTAATCCGTTGCTAGACCAAGACACTGTTTCCAAGCTTGCTGGACTGAGTGTGACCTAACCATCCAGTTTTCAAGTCACCACTTGTTCCTTCCCGTGCTTTTCTTAACCTTTGGGGACAAATCTGTGGAACCTACATGATACTCATTAACATTGTATGCGACACAGTAATGACCAGGAGTTGTTTGTGCCTTAGTTTTTCCACTGTTCAAGTGGAAGTAACAATGTCTACCTTAAATCTGAAACCGTATGAGCAGAGACGTTGGGCGTTGTTTTCGAAGTGTTCATGGTATGCTATCTTGCAACAGGATAGGTGTCTTAGTTGTGTTTATAAAACTCAGTGTTTATGCATGTTTGCTAAGTTCTACCAACTCCTACCCCATAAATGCCAATCAATTCAGTTCCTTGTTTCCTGGAGTCAGCCCTGGATGTAAGAGGATTTTTTTGTTTCGTTTTGTTTTGCTTTTCCTCAGCAAATGACCAAACCTACCCCCATCTGGAAAGAGATGGGGCATCAGGCTTGTTCAAACAAGTAGCAGCTGGACCCAGTGAGCACACTCTCTTGACATTTCTGACCATGCTGAGTGTGCTCTTGAGCACCACATCTTTTCAGAGAAATTATTCAGGAGCCCACTTCACCTCAAACCACTCCGTTTTCTCAACTTCTATTCAGTCTGCTCCCCAATGGAGTTTGAACAGATTCTTTGAAAAGTGAAATGTTCATTAGGCCATCAGGCACAACCCTCCCTTCATGCCTGACGACAACAAGACGAAACATTTGTGTGCGACGCCTTTGCTTTTCTGGGTCTCAGTGACGTATGTTCATCTGCCTGTATGGCGGATCTTCACCTGCTATGCAAGCCCCTTTGAGAAGACTGCGTATTACAGTGCTCAAACCTGAGCACCCAGAGCATCATAATTTGCTCACTCTGGGTTTACATGGCTTACAGCATGAATCTCCTCTGGTCAATTTTGCCCTTTGGAATAATTTCTGTCGATGCCACTGCAGGAAGTGGAATTTTCGATTAAACAGATGATCTTTGCATCCCTACCCTCTCCTGGCTTTCTGGTCTCCACTGTCACAAGCTTTTTTGGCATTTTCCATGAGGAATGATAGAAAACTGTCGTTGGCTGTTTTGTAAAAAATCTCTAAAACCAGGGTGTTCAATTGAGTAGCCTCTAGCCACATGTAGTCATTTAAATTGTCGTACATGTAGTAAAATAGGATCTAGAGAATCAGAATAGCCCTATTTCAAGCACAGCCAGCCAGCTTCTGTATGTGGGATGGCAAAGATATAAAATGTTTTCCTCATTGTAGAAGGTCTCCTTGACAGTGCTGCTTTAGAACAAGATTGGTTGGGGGAGGGGCAACTATCGAACTGTCCCAGGTGTATTGTGGGGGAACCATAGAGGTGAGACATTAGGCACTTCCGGTCTTCTGTTCTCATAGCAACTCAACGCTTGGTTCGATTGTGTTCTTATACTGTCTTATTTTTGTGGCCGTGTGTGTATCTTAGATTTCTGTGTCATTAGTAAAAGGTTGATTGGAGGAGCTGCAGGAAAGCCACAGGCTGATGAAAAAAAAATCTAAAAGAACTCACACTGGGGCTGGGCATGTGCTTTAGTGCCACAGCACCTGCCTCGCATACATAAGGCAGGATATTGGAGAACAAAAAAATGCTTAATGCTGGATAGATACAGTGAACAGGAAGCCTTGACAATCTAATGGAAAGAGAATGCTAACAATACTATTTTCTTATTGGTTATCCACAGCTACCTAAATAGGACTTAAAAATAAATATAGCAGGGGATTAAAGATGGGTTTGTGACTCTGAAGCACCCTGGCTCGCTCCATTCCCCACTGGAGAGAGTACTTTCCTTCACTCCAGGAACCAGGCCCCATGAGCCCCTACCTGGACCTCAGCTGTTTTCTGATGTACCAGGCCTTTGGGGGTCCTTTCCTGAGCCCCCTCCTTTCTGTGCTGCTGTTACTCCTACTCACTCAGCACCGAGCCTGGAATGCTCCTCATTCCATGTGGAAAGAAACATCGCAGCTGCAGAATTTAATTGAACCATGGCTGCTCACCTTGAGGACGTTCTAAACAGAGTCCATTGCTTTACTGGCTGTATAGTATTTGTTACCAGGGACTATGTATTATTTTTGATTCCCAGCAGTCAACTTCCAAACAGTTTTGGTACATACGCCATAAACATTTAAAGCCATCTATGGATCAGGCTTTGAGCTAGGCACTGTGCAAATTCTAATTAAATAGTGCAGTTGGGGTAGGGCTGGAAAAATTCATGTTTTCCAGTACTCCGGGCAGAGTTTGAGCTATTGGGTGTGACAAGGCTTGGCATAAATGCCTAGTGGGTGGTGGGGCTTGATTTTTGTGGGAGGTGGGGGAGGGATTGCAGGACATGGAAGTAGATCTCATTCTGGCTTTGAGGACTGTCTGTGAGAGGGTAGCCTAGAGGGCAAGCAGAATTGGACTCACGGGAAGAGGAGGACTCACGAGGAAAGGAGAAGGTGCATTTGATACTGATACCCTTTTTCACTCTTAAATTATTTTTATTATGGAAATTTTCAAGTATGCACAGAATGAAGCTTCATCAATTATTAACATTCTGACTTCCTCTGATACCAGGGATTGAATCTAGAGACATGCCTTATACATCCTAGGCAAGTGCAACACGGCTGAGCTCTAATCGCCACCTCTCATTCTGATATTCTCTTCCTTACCCATCCCCTACCTATACTATTACTATAATTACTAAATGGACAACAATGAAAAGTGACTAGCGCTTGTGGAACTCGAACTCTGTCACAATCTGTCTTTCCACCTATGTCTCCTCCCACTTCCTTTTCCCTTCATGCCATCCTCGAGACCACGGAATGACTGATTTGCCATCATTGTAGATTTGAGCTTCCTTTTCTTGGGGTTTTATATAAATAGACTCATATAGAATGGCTTTTGTGGCTTCATTCACTCAGCACGATGTTTTTGAGATTCACCCATATTGTTACCTGGCAAGTTTTCTTCTTTAATGCTACTAGTCCATCATAAGGATGGTGCTACAGGCACCCGGGGTGGTGGAAGCAAGTCTAGGCAATTAGTGAACTTGAACTCCAGGTTCAGTGAAAGACCCTGTCTCAAATAATGAAGAGAACAGCTACAGAGGATACAACATCAACTTCTGGTCTCCACATGTGTTCCTATATGCTCAAGCATGCCTACCCCCATACACATCCACACCCCCCCACACACACATGAATGTATTCAGACCATTTTCTTGTTATAGAAATTCGGGTTATTTCCAGTTTGAGGCTGTTACAAACACCTGTATGTCTTTCATGGACTAGTGTTTTTACATTTCTCTTGGAATACCTAGAAGTAAAATGGCTAAGTTAATGAACTAGGTATATTTTCAGCTATGTAAGGGATTCACAACCCTTCATTTAAAGTGGTTATACCATCTTATGTTCCCAGCACCAATGCATGTGTTTCATATCCTCATCAATACTTTGTAGTACTGATCCTTTAAATTTTGGCCTTTTTAGTGAGAAGTACAGCACTTTCTCATTGATGGATTTAATATGTCTTTGCTTCAAAGTGATGATGTCATATACTTTCTATGTGATTTTTGACATGGATATTTTTTTCCCACAAGGTGTCCAATAAAGTCATTTACCTATGTAATGGTTGGTTGTTACCTTCTTGTTGAGTTTTCAGTTCTTTTTTTATATAATTTGTGTTTAAGTGATTTGTCAGGACCATGAGCATCTCCCATATTATGGCTTGCTAATTCATCCCATTTATTCGTGCTTTTTGATGATGAAGTTTGATTTAGAGTTTCTTTTTATAGTATTTTATGACTGCATACCTAAAACACCGTGCAGGTTTTACTTGTGCAGATACTGGCCTAAATATTCTTCTGAAAGCTTACAGGTTTCACTTTTACATTTACATCTCTGAGTCATATCAAATGAAATTGACGTTTTGAGAATGACACCTTGGCTTAAAATATTTAGAGAGGCTAATCTCGGCCTAGAGTAAATCTGACAATTGGAGGCTGGCAACGGGACTTTCGCTGCTTCCTTTCTTCTCATCCTTCAAAGGCTCAGAAGTCTAGGTTCTCTAGGCAAATGGCCT